TTAAAGGTTTAGAGAATATGACCTATGAAGGAAAGCTGAAAGAATTGGCTTTGTTTAGTTTAGAAAAGAGAAGATTGAGGTGGGACATGATACGGTTTTCAGGTATCTAAAAGGGTGTCATAAGAAGGAGAGAGAAAACTTGTTCATCTTGGCCTCTGAGGATAGAACAAGAGGCAATGGGCTTAAATTTCAGCAAGGGAAGTTTAGGTTGGACATTAAGAAAACGTTCCTAACTGTGAGTGTGGTCAAACTCTGGAATAAATTGCTCAGGGAGGTTGTGGAATCTCCATCTCTGGAGATAATTAAGAGCAGGTTAGATAAATGTATATCAGGGATGGTCTAGACGGTACTAGGCGGGACCTGGAACGAGACAGGCTGGCCTGTGGGCCTGGCCCAGGCACTTTTTGAGCAGGAAGTATCCCCACGCCCCAGGCTACAGGCTGGAGTTGGAGGGTTGGAGGACGAGTCCACTTCACAGAGAGCTGGCTGGGTTGAGGACCGTGGTGGCTCATTCACCACTGGGCTGCACACGGAGGAGGAGCCAGCACTAATCAGAGACAAAGCTGAGCAGGGCAGGGACAGGCACACAAATCCCCTGATCCCAGCCTGCCCCTGCCTGCGGCTGAGCTGGAAACTGCTCTGTGCCCAGGGCTCCCTGCTGGCTCCGACCCCGCTGGGACTCCCAGGCAGGCAGGATAAATGTCCCTGCCTCCGAGCCCCGGCCAGTGCGGTTCCTGCCCCTGCAGCTCCCCCTCTCGAGCCCCGGCAGAGACTCCCTCATCCCCGGCTGGGGCAGGAGCCCGGTGAGTGTGGGGGGGTGTGTGCACATCTGCCCCCCTGCTGAGAAAGGTTCCCTCGTGTGTCATCAGTGGGACCTGAGCTCGCCAAGGACCCAGTCCAGGGGAAACTGCCACGGCCCCTGGTGTCCCTGGGAGCGAGGGCAGGTTGGGTGGAGGAGGATGGCGCCCACAGGGGAAGGAAAGGCAGGGGAAACACAGAGCGGGCTGCCCTGGGCACAAGTCTTGGTTTCCCTGCGTGAGAGCCCAGAGCAGGGCCAGGCAGAGGCACCAGCATTTCCTACCCTGAGCCCCCAGTGACTCCGCTACGAAATGCGAATGAACGTCCGGGACACAGACACGGGGGCAGGGCTGGAGGTGGCAGAGAGGGCGGGTGCATGGACAGACGGGCAGGGACAGACGGACGCTCTGTAGTTACTCTGTGCTGGGCTCCCAAAGCCTGCGTCAGGGTTGGTGGGAGCTGGTCCTGCCCGGGGGGGCCTGGGGAAAGGCTGCCCAGGGAGACAACTGAAGCAGTGAGAAGGGCTGGGGTGAGCGGCAGGGCATCTGCAGCCAGGAGAAAGGCCCCAGGGTCACAGCATCCAGGCTCCCAGGCAGGGTTTGCAATGGAACGTCCTTGCCTGGGCACTCGGACATTTCCGGACCCGGCCGAGGTTCCAGGGCCTAGGAGCCCAAGTGGGGTTGTTCGTGCTGGAGGCTCCTTTTACCCAGGAATGTTTCCCAGGTGTCTCTGAGCTGGGCCCGGCTGTGGCCCTAGGGAGCCCTCACTGACCAGCTGCTGGTCTGGGGCAGCGAGTGAAAACAGCAAAGAGCAACGTGGGGCTCCCGCCAACGGGCCTTTCCAGCCTGGTTCAGAGCAGGGTCCAGTTTGACCAGCCTGCCCCCGCCCCAGGAGCTGCACCTGGGTTGCAGGGAAGAGGAGAAAACTCCAACAGGGGCAGTTGTGGGGGAACATGACGCTTCTCCGGAATTGCCCGGAGCTCCAGTTGTCAGCCACCGGGTGCAGTGGGGAGCGGGAGGTTTCATATCCGCTGGCGCTGGGAGGGGACCCGGCCTTGCTCAGGCTGCAACTCTGGTAGTGTTTGAATTTGGGAATAACATGAACGTGCCCAGGCTGCACTGTGTCCATGGCCCTGGCCTGGGCTGGGGAGGAGGAGTTCAGTGGGCAGGCTGCCCCGGGAAAGAGGGCTACCCCAGCCTTCTCTCAGCACAGCAGTTTGGGGCTGATAAGAAGCGCCCCTCTATGGCTGCCTCAATCCAGTGGGCAGAGTTAGGGAGGGATTCCTGTGCCCCGGTTGGGGCAGGTCCTGGTCCATCCATCCCCTGCACTCCCCAGCCACAGTGAGTGATAGAATCACAGAATCATAGAATAATAGGACTGGAAGGGACCTCGAGAGGTCATCGAGTCCAGCCCCCCGCCCTCAAGGCAGGACCAAGCTCCATCTACACCATCCCTGACAGATGTCTATCTAACCTGTTCTTAAATATCTCCAGAGAGGGAGATTCCACCACCTCCCTTGGCAATTTATTCCAATATTTGACCACTCTGACAGTTAGGAATTTTTTCCTAATGTCCAATCTAAACCTCCCCTGCTGCACTTTAAGCCCATTACAGCCAACTTCACATCATTATAGAATCACAGAACACTAGAACTAGAAGGGAACTTGAGAGATCAACATGTCCAGACCCTGCGCTCACGGCAGAACCATGCACCCTCTAGGTCATCCCTGACAGATGTCTAACTTGCTCTTAAATATCTCCAGGGATGGAGATTCCACAACCTCACCAGGCAACTTATTCCAGTGTCTAATCACCCTGACAGGTAGGAAGATTTTTCTTCCTAATGTCCAACCTAAACCTCCCTTGCTGAAGTTTAAGCCCATGGCTTCTTGTCCTATCCCCAAAGGCCAAAGAGAACGGTTCCCCCACCCCCTTCCTGTGACACCCGTTTAGATAGCTGAAAACTGCTGTCATGTCCCCTTTCAGTCTTCTCCTTTCCAAAATAAAGAAGCCCAATTCCTTCAGCATTGCCTCATAGCTCATGTTTTCTAGAACGTTAAAGCTACGTCTAGATTGTATCCCTTTTTTGTAAAAGGGATGCAAATTAGACGTATCACAATTGCTAATGAAGCAGGGATTTAAATCTCTCCCACTTCATTAGCATAAAAATGGCTGCCGCTTTTTTTAACATGGAGGTTTGCCGGAAAAAAGCACCCGTCTAGACGCGGAACTTTCGGAAAATAAAGCCTTTTCTGAAAGATCCCTTATCCTTTATTTTATCCCTTAATTTATCCCTTATTCCAAAGCAATTATAACCCCTGCCAGCTTGGGAGCATCTGCAAACTTATATAAGTGTACTTTTTATGTCAATATCTAAATCACTAATGAAAATATTGATGAGAACCGGTCCCAAAACAGACTTCTGCAGAACCCTGCTTGTTATGCCCTTCCAGCATGACTGTCAATGGTTAATAACTATTCTCTGAGATCGCGTCTAAAAGGTGCTACTAGACTATTTGTTGTTTATAAAGTTTTTCTCTGAGAATTGTTATCCAGCCAGTTATGGACCCATCTTATAGTAGCCCCACCTAATTTGTATTTTCCTAGTTTACTGATAAGAAGGTCATGCAAGACCGTATCAAATACCTTACTAAAGTCCAGTTATACCATGGCCACCACTTCTCCCTTTCCACAAGACTCATTATCCTATCACAGAAAGCTATCACATTGGTTTGGCTTGATTTGTTCTTTACAAATCCATGCTGGCTATTTCCTCTCACTTCATTTTCTTCCAGATGTTTGCAGATGAATTTCTTGATTACTTACTCCATTATCTTCCATGGCACAGACATTAGACTGACTGGTCTGTAGCTTCCTAGGTTGTTATTATTTCCATTTTTATAGATTTACCCTCTTCCAGTCTTCTGGAAAGTCTCCCAATTTCCAAGACTTTTCAGAGATGATAGTTAAACACTCAGCTAACCCCTCTACCAGCTCCTTGTGTGTTCTAGGATGCATTTCATTAGGCCCTGGTGACTTGAAGACATCGAATCTTTCTAAGTGATTTTTAACTTGTTCTTTTTTTTAAATGTTATCTTCTAATCCTACCCCCTTCCCACTAGTATTCTCTACGTCAGGCATCCTTCATCATCAGACTTCTCAGTGAAGACCAAACCAAAGAAGTCATTAAGCACCTCTGCCGTTTCCAAGTGTCCTGTTACATTTTCTACCTCCTCTGTCATGGCAGCTCCGCCATTTTCCCCTCACTCCCTGCATGAGGGATCAGCCAGCAGTGTTCCCATGGGAACTGGGAGGGGAGCTTCAGGCCCCCCCACCTGCACCCTGACAGGGGACTCTGGATAATCCCAGACAGGGGGAGAGGGGACAGGTGTGTCTGTCTCTTTCCTGTGCGGTGTGCTCAGACCCAGTCTTACTCCAGGCACAGCTCATGATCTAGGCACAACCAAGCCCTCAGCTTGCTTTGAAGTGAGGATAAGACGCAGCTGCCTGGCACATTGGGTGGTCCTAGCTCCTACGGCTTCAGAGGAGTACTCGCACGGACAGAGAGAGGGACAGAAACAGACAGACAGGCCGACTCTTTCTAATATAGAGTGGCATCGTGTGATAATTTACCAAGTAAAGCCGATGATTAGAACTTGCCCGCAGGCTTCTCTTCCCGGTGATGCCCAGTTCCCACCGGGGAGAGGCTGAATTTCATTTTCATTGATGGCCCATGGGCTGGGTGCAGAGTTAAAAGGATGGATCCCCCTACCAGCCAAGCAGCACTGCAGGAAGATCCAGGGGCGCTGGACATGACAAGTACTCAGGCGCTGGGTGAACTGGAGCCCCCAGCGCGGAGCTGGGGCCAAACGGGCTCGGGTGTCTCTATGGCCGGGGTCTGTCCATAGGTGCAGGGAGATTCTATCCCCACTGTGTCTGGGGCCGGGCCGGCCACCGCTGGGATCCTGGGCCCAGTCCTGTGTCCCCAGGCTCCGAATCCATTAGTGCCCCTTTCTGCACTGAGGCAGGGATCCTGGGGCCAGTCCTGTGTTCCCAGACTCCGGCTCTGCCCTGCACAGCTCTGAGTGCAGCTCTCACACCAGGGGCGCAGAGTGTGAGTGGGAAGTGTGAAGTGAGTGTGAGGGGGCGGGAGCCCAGCAGGCACTGACCTTGTCTCTGCGTCCAACCAGGCCCAGCGCCCCATGGCTGCGCCAAACATCACAACCTTTAGTCACCTCACCTTCGTCCTGGTCGGCATCCCGGGCCTGGAGCCCTGGCACCCCTGGATCTCCATCCCCTTCGCGCTGATGTACACGGCGGCTGTTCTGGGGAACTGTGGTCTCCTCCTGCTCATCGCCACCCAGCGCAGGCTGCACGAGCCCATGTTCATTTTCCTCTCTATGCTGGCGGTGGCCGACGTACTGTTATCCACCTGCACAGTTCCCAACATGCTGGCCATCTTCTGGTTTGGACCCAAGGCCATTTCCTTCAGTTCCTGCCTCACCCAGATGTTCTTTTTTCGCTTTGGGTTTGCCACTGAGTCCAGTCTTCTGCTGGCCATGGGGTTTGATCGGTACATCGCCATCTGTGATCCCCTGAGGTACACGACTGTCCTCACCAATAAGAAGATCGGGAAGATAGCCATTGCCATTGTCATGAGAAGTTTTTGTATGGTTGTCCCCACTGTTTTTCTCATCAAATGGCTTCCCTTCTGCGCAAGCAACGTCATCCCACACTCCTACTGTGAGCAAATCGGGGTGGCCAGGCTGGCCTGTGCAGACATAACCATCAATATCTGGTATGGCTTTTCAATGCTTCTCTTAACCATCGTAGTTGACGTTGCATTCATCGTTGTGTCATACGTGCTGATCCTCAGGGCTGTCTTCAAGCTGCCCACCAAGGATGCCCGGTTCAAGGCACTCAGCACCTGTGGCTCTCATGTCTGTATCATCCTTTTATTTTATGTTCCAGCCTTTTTCGTTGTCCTAACATTCAAAGCTCTCAGCACCTGTGGCTCTCATGTTTGTATCATCCTTTTATTTTATGTTCCAGCCTTTTTCGTTGTCCTAACACACGGCTTTGGCCATAACGTCCCTCAACACATTCACATCCTGCTGGCCGATCTCTACGTGCTCGTGTCCCCCGTGCTAAACCCCATTGTTTACGGGATGAAAACCAAGCAGCTGCGGGAACAAATGGTCTGCGTGTTGTCTCAGAAGGGAAGATGGTTCTGAGTCCAGAGCCTTGCGATTTACTAGTTGGCTTCTTCCACACTGCAAAGAGAGGGCAAGAAATGGACGTTAACACATTAGCTCCCTGTATCCGAACAGACATTTTCAACTCCTGAGATGTTTCATTGAAAATCCAGGGATGTGGCTTTTTGTGGCTTCAAGAACCATTAATTGGTGCCTTGTTGTCTATTTTAATGACACTCCCCAAAATAGGGAGGCTTCACTTGGGATATGAGATTTGCTCAGAGCCATGCTCCACAGGAGCTATATCCGGTTTTTAGTAGCCAGTTCTGGATGCTTAAAAGGCAGAGGTGTATACAGCTATCTCGGGCAAGGGAAAGTCTCCTAATCCTCAACAGTTAGGGTTGCCTTATCCATGGAAACAGGAAGGTTTTAGGCCCTGAGAAATGAACATTTAGCCTTCTTTACTGTACGTTTGTGTACTCTCAGATGTATCCTGCTCAGCTTATGGCCCTGAGTTCCAACAGCTAATTGTGTTCTGCAAGACGAAAGAGGAAAAGAAACCCCTCTCTTGCCACCATTTAAAGTTCCCTGCCTTTTGTTTCAGTGCATTTCTTTCCACAGTCCATTTGGATTGCGATTCGCTTTGTCGACAAAGAGCGTCCAGGCTTCCGGATGCTCTGTCGACAACCCGGAAGTGCTTCTGTCAGGTCACAGAAACAGCCTTAAAGTCCAGACACTGCTGCATGCTCTTTGCAGAGACACATGCTTAAAGGGATCCTTCTGGACAGCCATTGCCTTGCTCCTGCTTCTGGCTTGCCTACGTCCTTGAGGGAAAGCAAAGCTGCTGCAGGTTTTGTTCTGTTGGCCCTGCTTCCTCGGATATCACAGCAGTTTATTTTCAGGTTTGGCTTTTTCCTTTGCACGGTGTTTTTGGCCATGGACCCTGAGCTGCCCCTTGCCAGGCGATGGCCTCACACTGTGATGATGGAAGTTCTGCTGCATGTGCATGAGAGCATCATGATGTTTGTGGCAGAGCGGGATTCAGAGTCCAGCTTTGAGCCCCTCATTCAGGCTGCACCCTACTGCCCTTGCCCCGAACTTATTCCAAGAGAGGCGAGTTTGGAGGCTGGACACCAGTTCTGAGTGGTGGGACCGGCTTGTTATGCAGCAGTGGGACAACGACCAGTGACTCCGAAACTTCCGGATGCAGAAGTCCTCCTTCCAAGAGTTCTGTGCCTGGCTTGCCCCTGCCCTGCAATGCCAGGATACCCGCTTGCAGACCGCCATTCCCCGGGAGAACTGCGTTGCTATTGCTCTGTGGAGCTGGCCACCCCCGACAGCTACCGCTCTGTGGGACATCAGTTTGGCATGGGGAGGTCTACTGTCGGGGCTGTCTTGATGGAGGTAAGTCACTCTTGGGGGACAGTCCATGGGGGCAGGAGCAGGGGCGAGTGGATAAGGGGGATAGTCAGGACTGGGCACATGGAATGGGGGATGGGGTGGGAGTGGTAGAAGCCTGCTTGGACTCACCCTGTGGTGGTGTGGGGATCACTGGGAGGTTGCCTAAGGGGGGGCTCTTGGGGTCTGGAAGGTGAGGGGTAGGGGAGTACCCCATATCAGCTCATACAACTCCTCTAATGTCCTGTTATGTGTGTTTGTATTTGTCCCTTTCTGCAGGTAGTGACGGCCATCAATTCAGAGCTGCTTCACAGGACTGTCCGCCTCGGAGACCTGCGTATTATCTTGGCTGGATTTGCAGGGCTGGGTTTTCCAAACTCAGTGGAGCACTCGACGGGACTCACATCCCGATCTTCGCACCACCCCATGGAGCAGCACAGTATAGTAATAGAAGGGGCTAGTTTCCATGGTACAGCAGGCCACGGTTGACCACCTGGGTTTGTGTTGGGTGGTCAGGCCGAGCACACGATGGTCGCATATTCTGGAACTCCTATCTGCAGGCTGCAGGCTGGGACATTTTTCCCGGAGAGGAACTATGCAGTTGGGGATGTGTACATGCCTACATGCATTGTGGCCGACATGGCATACCTCCTTATGCCCTGGCTCATGAAGCCATTCATGGGACATCTGGATGCGAGCAGGGAACTCTTTAACTCCCCCTGAATTGGGCTTGCTTCCAGGTGGAGTGCGCCTTTGGCTTCCAGGTGGAGTGCGCCTTTGGCAGTCTGAAGGGCAGATTTAGATGCCTGCTCACTCGACTGGACATGGAGGAACATAACATCCCTGATGTGGTTGCATCATGCTGTGTGCTGCACAACCTGGTGGAGAGGAAAGGGGAGGGGGGCTTCCTCCCGGCATGGAGGGGAGGCACTTTGAGCAGCCCCAGACAGCTGCCACCCGGCAAGCCCACCAGATGGGCTTGCAGATTTGAGAAGCGCTGAGTGAGCAATTCTCCCAAGGAGCCCGATGATTTTCCCCAGGGCCTTCCAAATGTGGGATTGCCCCATGTTCCTGGTGCCTTCCTCCCCAAAACCCCTCCCGGTCCCACAGTCACACATTGTACGCATTCATCACACACTGAGAACTGAGGGTATGTCTACACTACCACCCTAGTTCGAACTAGGGTGGTTAATGTAGTCATACGAACTTGCAAATGAAGCGCGGGATTTGAATTTCCCGGGCTTCATTTGCATGTTGCCGGGCACCGCCATTTTTAAATGTCCGCTAGTGCGGACTCCGTGCCCGCGGCTACACATGGCACAAACTAGATAGTTCGGATTAGGCTTCCTATTCCGAACTATCTGTACGCTTCGTTCCACGAGGAATGGCGGCGCCCGGCAACATGCAAATGAAGCCCGGGAAATTCAAATCCCGTGCTTCATTTGCAAGTTCGTATGACTACATTAACCACCCTAGTTCGAACTAGGGTGGTAGTGTAGACATACCCAGAGACAAGTGTTGGTGAAAAAATGTGAACACTTGAATTCACCGTTGTTTTTTTTGAAAAACTAAACTACTCGTTTGGTCAGAAAAATTAAAATACTTTTTTGTGCAGAAAAATAAAATGTTTGTAAACAAAGTAAAGTGCTTCCCTCAGTGACTGTCACAGGTGGGAAGGGGAAAGGCAACCGCTTCCAGGGCTCCAGGGCAGGGAGGCTGTCTTACCCTGCTGCATTGCTATCTGGATTCTTGGTAGCCCAGCTAGTGGTGCTGACTGGAGCTGCCCAGGTCCCTTTCCCACCGTACATCCAGTCAAAAACCAGTCACCTGATAACCGTGGGACAGGGAAGTGCTGGCCATGGGCCAGGCAGGTAGAAAATCCCCTCGCCCAGTGAGTGGGAAGCAGCCAGACGATGGGGATAGGTAAGAGCCGGAGCGACCTAGTGGTGGACAGAGGAGTAAAGCAGCTACGATGGGAGCTCAGACCCACAATGGATGGCCACTGGGAGGTGGCCCCAGGACCAAGGGAGCTGGGCACCCCCCCTTGTCTGTGCCCAAACTACCCATGTTTCCCTGGGGGGACCCGACCTACATCCCTTTGTCCTTATCCTGAGGTCCCAGACACTAGCTGGGGCAGCCTGGAGCCCAGCCAGGGGGAGCCCTGACACTCGTGGGGTCCACATGGACTATCCACCTGCCTGTGAGGCAGGGGCTGAAATTAGCCCCCAGCCCATGTCGGCCTCTCCTGGGCTCCCAGCCCAGACTCCAGGGTGTAAGTGGGAATGGGGAGGATCTGCAACTCTGCACCAGCTCACCCCAAACCCTGCACAGCTCTCCCAGAACTTGGCCAGGGTTTGAGTCTTCGGCCTGCAATGTGGCCATGCTGAGAGCCGCGGGGGCAGCTTTGGGGATTGGCGGGTGAAATATTGGCGGGGACTTGGCAGGGAGCTGTTCTTGGCTCCGCCACACACTGCACTTTGAGGAATTAAGACCCTTTGCGCTGGGGGATTCTGTGGAACATGAGTGCGGGGCAGCTGCCCAACCGGCCTACCAAGAAGCTGCAGGGGCGTTAGAATGGCAGAGCAGGGCGTCCCGGGACACCCCGCAGGAGACAAACAGGCTGCTCCTAATGACGTGGGCTTTGGAATGAGACAGGTTGACCTGTGGGCCCAGCTCAGTCACTGGTCGAGCAGGAAGTATCCCCACGCCCAAGGCTACAGGCTGGGTTAGAGGGCGAGTCCAACCCACACGGGGCTGGCTGGGTTTAGGCAGCTGGCGGCCCCTTCACCACTGAGCTGCACACGGAGGAGCCAGCACCAATGGAGACAAGGCTGAGCAGAGCAGGGACAAGCAGGACCTGGGACTGGATTTTGGGATGGGCACCTCAGGGAGGCCTGGGGCGTGAGGTTTAGGAGATAGCAGGGACGGGGCTACCATTGTGGCACCGGTTGTGTTTGTTGATCCATTTCTTTGTGATCCCATCTGGGCGTTTGGGCTTGCGAGGGCGAAGCTGTCAGGACTATCACTCCTGTAAACACTCAAATCCCCTGATCCCAGCCTGACCCTGCCTGCGGCTGAGCTGGAAACTGCTCTGTGCCCAGGGCTCCCTGCTGGCTCTGACCCCACTGGGACTCCCAGGCAGGCAGGATAAATGTCCCTGCCTCCGAGCCCCGGCCAGTGCGGTTCCTGCCCCTGCATCTCCCCACCTGGATCCCAGGCAGAGACTTCTCATCCCCGGCTGGGGCAGGAGCCCGGTGAGTGTTTGGGGGGGAGACTCCCGCACGGCTGCCCCCCGCTGGGAAAGGTGCCCTCGTGTGTCATCAGTGTGACCTGAGCTTGTCAAAGACCCAGTCCAGGGGAACCAGTCACATGCTCTGGTGTCCCTGGGAGCGGGGGGCAGGTCGGGGGGAGCAGGATGGCACCTGCAGGGGAAGGAAAGGCAGGGGAAGCACAGAGCAGGCTGCCAGGAGCACAAGTCTTAGTTTCCCTGCTTGAGAGCCCAGAACAAATCTGGGCAGAGGCACCAGCATTTCCTGACCCTGAGCCCCCAATGACTCCGCTACGAAATGCGAATGAACGTCCGGGACACAGACACTGGGGCAGGGCTGGGAGGTAGCACAGAAGGTGGGTGCGTGGACAGA